TCGTTTCAGAACTTTACAGAACTTATCAAGATTATTCTTGTGACGTTCTAACCTGACTTATCATTCTCGTTCTTAATCGTTCGAGGGTGTGGCGTCAACCAACTTTATACCTCTGGTTCTTGTTGCGTCATAGACAACGGGTCAAGGTTTTTACCTTTGGTTCTTGTTGCGACATAAACAACGGGTCAAGGTCTTATCATAAACCTGATTTAGCTTTCCTGAGTTTAAAAATCCCTTGTCGTGCTGTGGGTTTCATTGTTCTCTTTGGGGTTCTCATCAACCTGCCTCTGAAGCTCCTTTGTCTCTTCAGAGTTGCTCCTATAGGCTGGTCGGTTTGGAATTGTCGCACCAAGTACAAAATCAATTTGATGTTCAATCCCTCATATTGGAGGTAATCGAGGTGGCGTTTCTTTTGGAAACACATCTTTGCAATCCTGCAAAAGAGAGATAACACTACTTGGCAAATTTCTAGCAAGATGATCACTGCAAAAAAATGCCTCTTTGTTCAGAAGTACTATAAGGGGCTGTTGTAAATGTAAAGCTCTCTTGATCTCACTTTTTTTTGCAATGAAATAATGTTGTTCCTCTCTAAAGATGAATCTGCAACTAACACTTGTTTGTTTACCTTTACCTCGCCGCTATAATTCAACCATTGCAACTTGTACGGACTAGGGTGTCTCAGTGTAGGCAATCCTAATTTTTCCACCATGGTTGTGCTAGCAACGTTAGTACAACTACTACCATCAATAATCACACTGCATACCTTATCTTTGACATAGCACCTAGTGTGAAAGATGTTCTCTTGTTGCACTTCATCCACGTCCTTTGCTTGCACACTTAAAGCCCTTCTTACCACCAACAAATCTCCATGTACAGCAAACTCCTCCTCATAGGCGCCCTCCAATGGTGGCATTTCATCGGTGTCAAAATCTTCCTCTTCGGTCACAATTTTGCCACTGTCTCACATCACCATAACCCGTTTGTTTGGACATTGACTCACTATGTGACCACTGCCTTGACATTTAAAGCACTTAATATCACAATTTCAAGTAGTAGAAGTGTCAGCTTTTTATGAGAACCCCAAAGAGAACAATGAGACCCACAGCACGACAAGGGATTTCTAAACTCCAAGAAAGCCAAATCTGGTTAATAATAGGACCTTGACCCGTTGTTTATGTCGCAAAAAGAATCAAAGGTAAAAACCTTGACCCGTTGTCTATGACGCAACAAGAACCAAAGGTAGTTGGTTGACGCTATCCCCCCGAACGAGCATGATAAGTCAGGTTAGAACGCCACAAGAATAATCTTGATAAGTTCTATAAAGTTCTGCAATGAACCAAAGAGAAAAGTTTCTCAAAAACTCAGATTCAATAACTCCCTGAATTAGGGTTACAAGCCCTTTAAATAGGGAAAAGTAATTCTAATCAGAATAGAAAACTAACACCCTAAACGCTAATCCTAATAACCACGAATTGGACATCAAATAAATGAATATTCAGCCCAAAATAAAACAAAAAATGTGAAAATCACTGAAAGTAACCTAAAGTAACATAAAATATCAATTTGTTACAAATTGCGACAGAATTGCGGGATTTTGATGCAAACTGTGTAATTTATCATAAATGACCTCAATTAAGCTTCTCTTGAATCTGAATGATGTTTACCATGCCTTGATAATCATCCAAGCTTCAATTTACTTGTTGCATGTTGTTATCAACCTAGATCTACTCAATAAGGGCATTTAAAACTTCTCGCATCTTCCTAGCTCTAGCTCTTGTGACTGGACCTCCTGGAATGTGTAACGGATCTCTTGATGTGTGGTACATGTGGGGTCATCTTGATTCCCATCATTCCCTCTCTCCTTAAAAGGATTTGTCCTCAAATCGTCACCTATATCAAAAGGAGAAAGATCAGAAACTTTAAAAGTAGCACTAACATTGAGAGCGAAATCTGATGAGTTGGGGAAATCGACAAGATCGTGACTTAGGTAGCATCAAGATGAAGATTCCTCCGTTTCAAGGCAAAAATGATCCAGATGTGTATTTGGAGTGGGAAAAAAAGGTGAAATTATTGTTTGATTGTCATAACTATTGTGAGGAGAAAAAGGTGAAACTATTTCCATAAGTTCTGTAAAGTTCTGAAACGAACCAAAGAGAAAAGCCTCTCAAAATCTCAGATTCAATAGCCTCCTCCCTATTAGGGTTGCAAGCCTTTTAAATAGAGAAAACAAATCCTAATCAGAATAGGAAACTAACACCCTAAGTCCTAAACCTAATAACCACGAATTGGGCTTCAAATAAGTGAATGTTCAGCCCAAAAATAATACAAAAACGTGAAAATCACTAAAAATAACCTAAAATAACACAAAATATAAGTTTGCTACAAATTGCGGCAGAATCGTGTGATTTTGACGCAAACTGTGTAATTCCATGCAAATGACCTCAACTAAGCTTCTCTTAAACCTGAATGATGTTTACCATGCTTTGATAATCATCCAAGCTTCAATTTGCTTATTGTATGTTGTTTTCAACCCAGATCTGCTCAATAAGGCCATTTACAGCTTCACGCATCTTCTTAGCCCTAGCTCGCGTGACTGGACCTCCTTGGGTGTGTAATGGATCACATGACGTAGTAGTTATGCTGTCGTCTTGATTCCCATCATTCCCTCTCTCCTCAAAAGGATTTGTCCTCAAATCGTCACCTACATCAAAAGGAGAAAGATCAGAAACATTAAAAGTAGCACTAACATTATACTCACCAGGAAGCTCCAACTTGTATGCGTTCTCATTAATCCTTGCAATCACTTGAAATGATCCATCGCCTCTTGGTTGCAGCTTAGAACGCCTTTGTGCAGGGAATCCCTCCTTGCACATATGCACCCAAACCCAATCTCCAGGTTCAAATACAACTTTCTTGCGTCCTTGGTTGGCTTGTTTTGCATATTGCTCAGTTCGTTGCTCTATGTTTTGTCTCAC